TATATTCCCAGAATGGGAATCGCTGGGTCAAAAGGCAGTCCACTTTTAATTTTTTGAGGAAACCCCGTACTGTTTTCCATAGTGGCTACTTCAGTCTGCATTCCCACCAACAGTGTACTAGGGTTCCCTTTTCTCTGCAACCTCACCAGCACTTGTTGTTTGTTGATTTCTTTGTGATGGCCATTCTGACTTGTGTGAAGTGGTAGCTCATTGTGGTTTTAATTTGCATCTCTTTAAGGGCTATCGATGATGAGCATCCTTTCATATGTCTCTGTGCTGTTTGTATGTCCTCCTTGGAAAAGTGACTGTTTAAGTCCTCTGCCCATTTTTAAATTGAATTATTTGTCTTCCTGGTGTGGAGCAGTATGAGTTCTTTATATATTTTGGAGATGAAACCTTTGTCCAAGGTATCATTGGCAAATATATGTTCCCATACAGTTGATTCCCTGTTCATTTAGCGGATGTTTTCTTTTTTTTAAAAATTTTATTTATTTATCTTTAGAGGGGAAGGAGAGAGGGAGAGAAACATCAATGTATGGTTGCCTCTAGTGCATCCCCTGCAGGGAACTGGCCTGCAGGGAACCTGCCTGCAACCCAGGCATGTGCCCTGACTGGGAATCAAACTGCGATCCTCTGATTCACAGGCCCGTGCTCAATCCACTTAGCTACACCAGCCAGGGGCTGATGTTTTCTTTAGCTGTGTAAAAACTTTTTATTTAATTTGATGTAGTCCCACTTGTTTATTCTTTTCTTTACATCCCTTGCTCCATGGGACATATCAGTGAAAATATTGCTGTGTGGAATATCTGAGATTTTCCTGTTTCTGTTCTCCTCTAGGACTTTTATGGTGTCACGACTTATATTTAAGTCTTTTATCCATCTTGAGTTTATATTTGTGTATGATGTAAGTTGGTGGTCAAATTTCATTTTTTTTTTTGCATGTAGCTGTCCAGATTTCCCAATACCATTTGTTAAAGAGGCTACTTTTACTCCATTTTAAGCTATTGTCTCCTTTGTCGAATATTAATTGACCACAGAGACTTGGGTTTATTTCTGGGCTCTCTGTTCTGTTCCATTGATCTATGTATCTGTTCTTAAGCCAGTACCAGACTGTTTTGATTACAGTGGCCTTACAATATAGTTTGATATCAGGTATTGTGATCCCTTCTGCTTTGTTATTCTTTCACAAAATTACTGAGGCTATTCAGGGTCATTTATGGTTCCATATAAATTTTTGAAATTTGTATATCTGTGAAATATGTCACTGGTACTTTAATAGGGATTGCATCGAATCTGCAAATTGCTTTGGGTAGTATGGACGTTTTGATGATGTTAATTCTTCCAATCTATGAACAAGGTACATGCTTCCATTTGTTTGTGTCTTCCTTAATTTTTTTTCTTCAGTATTGTGTAGTTTTCTGAGTACAGGTCTTTAACCTCCTTGGTTAGGTTTATTTCTAGATACTTTATTTTTCTTGTTGTTATGGCAAATGGGACTTTTTTCTATATCTCTTATAATTTGAAGTGAATCTGAAACAATATAATTTCACTCATAAATACTTTACATGATATCTTTATAAGGACTCTTCCCTTTACACTTAACCATTAGAATGTCATCACAGTAATTACTATAACAGAATATCTAGCCAGTGTTCAAATTTCCATTTGCATCGTAAGTGCCATACATTTGTTTTAGTTTGTTTGAATGAGGACCCAAACAAGATCCACAGATTATGATTAAATTATTACATCAAAAACCTCTTTCCATGTAAAGATTCCTTGTTATTATCTTCTTCCTTGGAATTTATTTGTTGAAGAAAATTTGTCTTGGAAACAGTCCCTCTGTCTGGTTTTGGCTGCTTGCTTCTCTGTGGTGGTATCGAAAATGTTCTGTCTTCTGCATTTCCTGCCCATTGATAGTCCTGTTTACAGTTCTACTGTCCTGTATTGTGGCCACTGGCCATATGTGGTTGTTAAGCACTTGAGATGTGACTAATGGCAAAAACTCTCTCCTTGACTAAACCTGAGTCAACCTCCTCTTACTCTGAATTGTTCTGACTAGGTTCTGGCACTGGGCTTTGTCCTTGACCTGCTTAATTCAGTTATAGCAAGAATCCTTCTGGGTTAGTTTAGTGAAAATCTCCCACTCTTAGTATCTGGTCAAATATCTCATCCCCTACCCTCAATGTCTTCTCCTCCTCCTGGCCTAACTTCAGTTGAGTTAATCCTAGAGAACTCCCTCTAGCCTTGATGTTTCATCTTAGTAATTTTTCATCTACTGTTCCCCACTCTGTTCCTTGGCTATAAATCTCCATTTGTCCCTGTATTTGCAATTGAGCCTAATCTGTCTCCCCTGCTGCAAAACCCTTGTGTAGTAGTAAGCCCTTTACTGAATAAAGTCTACCTTAACCATCTTTAACAGGTATATGAATAATTATTTTCTTTAACACTAGCTGAACTTGAGATGTACTGTAAATATAAAATATGTACCAGTTTTCTAAGACTTAGTACAAAAAGAAATGCAAACTATCCCATTTATAATTTTATATTTATTTCATGTTGACGTGATATTTTAGATATATTGGATTAAGTAAATGTTAGTAAAATTAATTTTACATGTTTATATTTAGTTGCTTTTACTATGGCAACTAGAAGGTACATAATTATATACTGGCTTGCTTGGACAGTGCTGATTGAGAGACTTGATGAAATTGAGGTTTGCTTTTTTGGCAGTTGTACTTCACAGGTAGCATTGTGTATGACTAGTCAGAAGCACATAACATCTGACTCTTTTTTTGAAAAAGAGTTTACTTATTTATTTTTAGAAGGAGGGAAAGGGAGGAAGAAAGAAAGGGAGAGAAACATCAATGTGAGAAAGAAACATCCATTGGTTGCCTCTCAGAGTCGCCCTGACCTGGGGACAGAACCCGAAACCTAGGCATGTGCCCTGACTGGGAATTGAACCAGCAACCATTCACTTTGCAGGGCGACACCCAACCAACTGAACCACACCAGCCAGGGCTGTCTGACTCTCTTTGTTTATTAGCAACCATTGATGATCAATGTTCACTAGGGGCTGCAAAATGATGTTATTTTAATTTTGTCATTTCTATTGTAATTCTATTTCATGTACTATTTGGTTCACTGGTAGTACAGCTTGATAAGGAAGGCAAGGTCAATGTTTGCTTTTTTTCTCTTTATTAATTCTCAAAATTATCAGTTGGCTCACTGGCTATTGATAGACTTTAAAAATATTTAAGAGTGCTTATTTTTATGTGCTCGTTAGAATGATTTACAAAGCTTACATATGAATGAAGATGCAGGTTTTTAAGCAAAATTGAATACTATCTGCTCACAAACTGGGATAATAAATGGCTGTAGTCTTCAAGAATGTCAAGGTCATGAAGACTAAGGAACTGCTTCAGATGAAAGGAGGGTAAAGAGAAGTGACAAATATAACATCTGTTCTTGAACTGGATCTGGATTAGGAAAAAAAAGTTTTTTTCTCCTTTTACTATTAAGAACATTAATGGGATAATTAATGACAATTGAGTAAAATTTGTAGATTAGATGATAATTACTTTCCTGATTTTGACAATTATATACAATGGTTATATAAGAGAATATCCTAATTTTAGGAAATGTACACTGAAGTATTCAGGGGTAAAGGGATATTATGCATACAACTTATTCATAAGAAATATATATCTAGGAAGGGGGTTGGGGGGAGGGAAGATAGAGAGAGAGAGTGGAAGCAAACATGGAAACCTTTGGTTAGTCTAGGTGAAATGTATACAGGAATTTTTTGTACTAGTTTTGCTATTTTCTGTCAATCTAAAATTACTGGAACAAGTTAATAAACTAAAGTAATGCTTATGAATTTTAGAAACCCTGTCTGTTCTCATTAGAAGGTTATAAATACAGGGTCTGGCAGAAGTAAAGCCTACTTGAATATGGTTGGTAGAGTAATAATATGGGTGTAATCATTTATAGTTTTAATTTGAACATTTCACCTAAAATGTCATATGATGTGCCTGAGTGTGATATTGTTATGTTACAGAATTATATCCTTATGATTTGGCAAGAAAAGATTTTCTAAAAGGGAGGTGTTATTTGTGCTGAACACTGTAGATAAGCATCAATTTGAACTGAAAACCAGTGCACTTGGCAAATTTGAATTGAGTCTGTGAAGAACAAGACAATAGTTGGGAACCAGTTCTGTGAAGAGTTATGTGGTAGTTTAACATGTATTCATAAATTCTTTAACATTCCTTTCAAGAACTGGAGGTCAAATCTCCTCTGGAGTATGAGTTGGGCTTAGTGACTTGCTTCTAACAAATAGAATGTGGCAGAAGTGGTGTGTCTCTTCTGAGACTCCATCATAAAAGACAGTGTGTTTGCGGAAGCACTGTCTTGGATCACTAGTTCTGTACCTTGTCCTGAAGCCACTCAGGTAGCCTTGGGAGAAGCCTGCATAAGGAGGACCTGGGGCCTTTTGCCAACAGCCCTGTGAGAGTGCCATCTTGGACATCTAGTAACTAGCTGGGCTCCTAGAAAAAAGAATAAAGAAATGAGTGAAAATGTAAAATAAGACATGAAGTTGAGATAAAATCATATCATGAAAAAAGGTTTAAACTAGGAGGAGATTTAGAGTCAAAGGCAAACATAAGCCTTTTATGAGAGGAGATTCTGAAAGGATACTTGGCCCTTGTGTTTCTAGTACTTCCCAGGTAATTCTGTCTCCTCCTTTAATTTAATCAATCATTTATTGAGCACCAAATGATTAAGACATTCTCCTTTTTTCTCAAAATGCTATCTGGAAACATCCTTGACTGTGAAAACAGTTTTTTTCCCCCCATGTGATTGTCCTTACTTCTTTTGTGTCTCTGGTTCTATATTTGAGAAGCAATTTTATTATTTAAAATTTATCTCCAACTCCAGGAATTTGTGGCGGAGTGGGTAAATAACTGCAGCTTTCCTGGCGCCCAGAGATTTGCACCATGCCAAGGCTCAAGCAGGTGAAACCACAACACATCAACCTGGAGAAAGACCAGGGAGAGCAACAGCCACAGCAGCAGGTCCCAGAGTTTACACATGTAGCCCCAGCAGTGCCTGTGGCAGGGGAGCTGGGTGCTCCAACGAACTATGTAGGTACTGGTGATGAGATGAATGGGGACCAAGTGATGGTAAAGAGGCCTCATTGGGAGGAGACTCACATCTGTGAGAAATGTTGTGGAGAGTTCTTTAGCTCCTCCGAGTTCTTAGAACATAAGAAAAATTGCACTGAATGTCTACCTGTCTTCATCATGAATGACAGTGAGAGACTAGTGCCTTTGGAAGATTCCTCTGGGGCTGTGCTGAGCCACCAGCCACAGAGTTCAAGCAGTAAGGACAGTTACAGGGAGGATGGTGGTAGCTCAGGGGACATGAAGGAGAAGCCAGGGATGAAGTCTGTTCTATACTTAAAGAAGGAGACTACCTTGCCCTCCCTACCCCAAGACTTAAGCTGTTTACCCAAAGGCAATGTGACCAACACTAATGTGATTCTTCAAGCAATACCAGGCACCAGGGTGGCGGTGAGCCAGAGGAGTGCGAATGCACCGCCTTCCCCCCTGCCTGTTGCCGACAGCGTCCCATCGGTCCTGGAGCAGATCTTCTGTCTGCAGCAGCAGCAGCTACAGCAGATTCAGATGATTGAGCAGATCCGCATCCAGATGGACACGTGGGCCACTGATCCCCTCCACTCTGGCATGGTGGGAGCTGACAACCTTAACACCTCAGGCAACCGTGTGTTTCAGCCGGTTTCTGCAGCAGTGGCTTCGCCCAGTCAGAAAGCTGGAAGCCAAGGATTGCCATTGGACACCTTGAAACAAGCCAAGCTACCTCACACGAACATCCCTTCCACCACCAGCTCTGTGTCCCCAGCACTGACGTCCTCCGCCCTGAGGCTGGATGGGCCGAGGGTGCTCCCTGGCCACCTTCCAGGTACTTTGCTACCTGAGACCCCGAGCTCTGTGGTCTCCCAGAGCCCTTTCCGCACTGCACCAATAGATCTGTCCAAGAAAAGGAAAGCGAAGCCACCCAACACATTCCTGGTGCGTATGAAACCCAAAAATCGGCCTGTCTTCTATGAGCATGTGTGTAAGTACTGTGGCAAGGTTTTTGATACTGATAGCTCCTTGCAGATCCACCTCTCTTCTCATACTGGAAAGAGACTCTTTGCATGCTCTATCTGTGGTCACTGGTTCACCACTGAAGGCAAACTGAAGACACACTTTTATCAGCATCTCCAGGCGAAGGCAACCCCCCAGGTGTCTGCTGAGTTCCCCAACAACATGGCGACAGGGAGTGGTGCTCGCTGTGCACGCTCTGTACCTGTCCCTGTAGATGAATCTAGTGTCTCTTTAGACTGCAGACCTGTCCCGGTACCAGGGACCCCCAATGTAGGGCTACCTCAGAATTTCTCTTTGGTGAGTAATCCCAAGGACCTAAAGTGTGGCCCACTGGCCAAAGACCTGCATCCTAGACCTTCTCCAGAAAGTGGGGATGGATCCATGTACTCTGGGGCGGGGCCAAGCCATAATTTCCCGAGGGTTGGTAGTTTCCAAGGGACAGGAAGACCTGAGCTGGGGTCACAGACCCTGAAGTTGCAGCAGATGGTGAAGAATGTTGACAAGGCCTCTACTGACCCCAATGAATGTGCCATTTGCCACCGTGCCTTTAGCTGCCAAAGCTCCCTCAGATTGCATTATCGCACCCACACTAGGGAGAGGCCATTCCGGTGTAGAATCTGTGACCGAGCCTTCTCCACCAAAGGCAGCCTGAAGACACACTTAGGGGTTCACCAAACCAACACCTGTGTAAAGACGCAGTATTCGTGCCCCATCTGCCAGAAGAAGTTCACCAATGCGGTCATGTTGCAGCAGCACATCCGGATGCACACGAGCGGTCAGATTCCCAACACGCCCCTGCCAGAGAATCCCTGTGTCTCTGCAGGTCCTGAGCTGATGGTAATCAGTGAGAGTAGCAGCACAAGCACCGTCTGTCACAATGACATCGAATGCATTGATGTAGACAAAGTCGGCTCCCAGGATGCCCCCAGCAGCTCCTCGAAGGTCCCTGTGCCTCTTTCCAGCATCCACTTGGCATCACCCGCAGTAGAATTTACCATGGTGACCCCCTCTAATGCCCCAGGAAAGGTGAGCTCTGCTCCTGTGGTCCTGCAGCAGCAGAGCAGCAGGGGAAAGGGTTCAGTGAAAAGTGGTGGCTCGATCGACTCATCCTCAGTGACGGGAAGCCTGCAGTATCAGAGCCCAAGTCCAGACGTCCTGAAGATCACATCTTTTCAAGATAGTCAAGCAGAAAGCATCAAGTTTAAGTCTCCTGATGCTGGTGGCAAAACAGAGAGGTTGGAGAACAGCCTCACCGAGATGGAAGGTTCAAGCATTCTCCCATCTGACCGAGCCCAACCAGCCCATGCCAAAATTAAAGTTAGTGGTGCATTTGGATCCTCAGTTATGTCCCCAGGCATGACATCTTTGTTAATGGCCCAACGAGGCCAACAGGGCAAGCAATATGGCTGCACATGGTACAGGGAGAACCAGTCATCAGCCAGTGCTCTTCAGATTTGTGAGCAGACACACACTGAGAGGAAGCCTTTTGTGTGTAACATATGTGGACAAGGTTTCACCACCAAAAGCAAGCTGCAGGTCCACTATATGACTCATGGTACTAACAATAGCTCTGCACACTGTGGGAGGAAGCAGGCAGTAGGGAACACCACGGATCTGTTAGGAGCAGATGGAAAGAAGCTCCCCGAGATGTCTCCCCAAGCAATCACGGTCCCTTCAGTGAGCATGGGTCCTGTTATGGGGAACCAGTACGCTAACATGCCCAATGAGGGCCTGGCCAGGAAGACCAACAAGATCTCAGTGATCAAGATTGTAGGCATTTCTACTCCCCCAGCCTCCCTGGGGGCCAGCTCCCTTGGCAGTAGCACCACTGTCTCCAAGAAAGATTCACCACGTTCCCAAACACCAGTTCCCTCACTTACTGGAGGAAAACAAGGTAGCGGTCAGCTAAACTAAAGGACAGCCCATTCAAAACGAGAAGTGCAGAGTGACTGCTCTAGGACCAGACATTTTTTGAACCCATCTCCTCCTGCTTGTTTTTTTTTTACCGATGTGCAAATGATGTTTACAGTTGTGACCACCTCAGGCAAGTCCTAGAGTCAGTGTTGGTATGCTATTTTGCAAAAACACCACCACCACAAGATCATACACTGTTTTTGTTTTTTTTTATTTTGAGAAATGGTTCTTGCAGAGTAGCTTTGTTACTTGTGACAAATCTATACATAAAACCTTTGTACAAGTTGAAGAAACGGAAGGATGTGTTTCTTATCAGAGGTCCACATACTAATTTTAATAAAAATTTCCTTGGTGTAACTTATGCCAAGTAATTATGAAGATTCCCCCCTCCCCTGCAACCTTAGAATTGCATAAAGTCTACGAAGTTGGAACAGGCAAGTCCTGTGTATGAAAATTTTAATTTACTTCATTTGTTTTTAACTTTTATTGCCTTAATATCTCTCTTTGTATTTTATGACCACTAAATTGTTCCTAGTTTCTGTCTTAAACCTAAGAGTTGATGTATTGGTGGGAGCAGCTGGATGTTTAACATGTTTTTGCTATTTTAATAACTTTTTGTGTGTGTAATATTAAGCAGGTAACGAAATATTGCTCTAGTGGTTTAATGAGGAGGAAGAAGGAAAGACTCTAATTCCTGGGTGGTGGAGTTTTTCCCACTCCATGTGGAAATGTAGATCAAGACTCTGCTCAAAAGTTTGTCTCCAAGTTACTGCACCTGACTTTTGTATCAAAAAAAGTTTTTTCCCCAAGTTGTGCCTTGCCTTCTAGAATTGTAAGTGAACACTGTAATAGTACCTGTTCACACTGTGAAGTGGATATTGTTACAGAGGATACACCAGAGGCAATAAATAAATAAATAAATAAATAAATAAATTAAAAAAACGTATCTCCAGAGAAAATTTATACACCTGGGAGAGAAGTGCTATGTGATAGAACATACTGCTGTGGATGTAAATCAGTTAACTGGAATTGTGATTTATGTACCTGTACTCTTGTGTGGGTTGCCATACCTTCAAAGAAGTGATAATATGTATTTCTGGCCTTGCAAGGCCGAGACTCAGATCCTAGATGACCCAGTAGCCACATCAACCCGGTCAAAGTAGAAAACAAAAGTGGAAACAAAGCAGGAAACAAAAATGAGGAATGAGCCCACACCCCATATTTATCATAAAAGGATTCTGTTTACAGTGCTGGAAAAGTGGTTTTTGTGTCTTGAGTGTGAGACTATATATACTCTACTGAAATCACTTAAGTATTTACAGATCAACTGTGCCACTCATGGTTTTTCTATGCAATGTGAGCCATATTACTCTCTGATGTAAAAACGTGGCTCAAGTTGAGTTCTCTGGGAGCAGAAATTGAAGTGGGGATTTGTGTGTAAGTGCTGTGTTGAGGGACAGGTCTCAGGCAAAGGGAAGTGAGGGAAATCCAGTGGGGCTGAGGAAGGAGCTAAGTAAGGATATAGTCTCAGCTGGAGCCTCAGCCTGACCCCACAGGGCTCTCTGGAGCAAGATTTGTACCACAGAGCAAAGGATGGCTTTTTCTCCTTATTGTCAGCAAGCCATTGGCTATGGGCTGCTCTGTGGGGACTTCGGAGGTATAACCTCGCCGAAGTGGCTCCAGGTTGGCTGAGAGGAAGTCTTTAAAGAAAGGACCAGCTGTGAGCCATTAGCAGAGAACACTCACTGGTGGATATGTTGCCTCATGACAGGAATCTTGGCAGTGAACTAACGGTGTCTACAATAGGTCTGAAATTTTTATGTGGTCATTGTGTCAGAATCTGGCTAGATGTTCCCCAAATCCATTTCTTCTTTCTGGATATAAAGCTTGACTACATTGCCCAGACTCCCTTGCAGTTTGGTATGACCACATGACTCAGCTCTAACCAATAGAAATGAAGAGAAGTGATGCGTACCACTTCTGGCCCTGGCCCATAAAACACCCTGTGACAGCAGTCTCCATGCACCCTTTCTTGCCAGCTCTGCTGAGCTCCCTTTTTATGACTGTCAGGTGCAGAGCATCTAGTGGAGGGCTTTGAGGTCTCAGGGGTTGGAGGTAGTGTCTGAATGAACAACCCCTCCCTGACCCTTGGTGGACTGTGCCATGAGCAAGAAACAAATCATTATTATATGTTTGTTTCAGTAGTTAGCCCACTCTGAGTCATTTAGTGCACCTCACATTTTTCAGAAACACGAATGGCTTTTGAGAATTTGATTTTCAGAATTTTATCAATTTAATAATTCATGCTCAAATTTGTGATGACTGAGGTGCTGCATAACTAAAGATTTTTTTCTTATTCCTTGAAACAGAAGAGAGCTCTGAAGTATCGGTGACTTTATGGGCAACTTAAAAAAGCACCATGAAAATGGCTGGGGTAATTATTATCCAAAATACTGTTCAGGGAAACAAAGCAGGAAGCTGCCTTCCCAAGGTTAGACAGCTTGCTATTGTTAACAAGTAGTGAGAATTGTTGGCTCCAGTTTGTCTGACATAACTGTTGGACTTTCCCAGTGCACAGAAAGCTTTTAACATTTCTGCTCAGCCATTTCCAGGGCTACCAAAGGTTTCATTCCATGGAGAGAGGTCAGCTGTCTGATAACTTACATAAGAGACCAGCAGGGCTGCTGAGAACAAGCTGTTTGTTGCTTGAGAACAGCCACCTTGTCTGTTTGTCAAGCTTTTGCTTCAGAGGATGGAGTTGGTATAGGAAAGAAGAGGACATATTCTCTCCTACCTACTCCCTCCCTGCCACACACACATGGGTGGATACAGTATATAATTGCACCAATGTTCAAAACTGGTTTTATAGGAGACAGTAACTCTTGTCCCAGCCTGCTGTCCCTCACCTATCTCTTCCCTGCCACCAAGTCTCTGGGGCTTCTCCGTCTCCAGTGATCCTACCTCTTGGTGGTGTCCTTTGCCTCTACAGTTCCACCCATCCATCTTGGGCCCCCTTCATCAAACCTTTCTGGTTGAGCTGTGGCCCATGAATTTTCTCTCTTTTGTCTTCTCTAAATTCCCGCAGCACTTAGCCCAGGGTACACAATTTAGCACTTAATTATATACCGTTTTTTATTGTTTGTTTTTATTTGTTGTGTTAGTTTTATCTTTTCCAGTATGGCTGCAGACTCCTTCAAAGCAACACATCTTGTTTTTTTTAAATCCCCCACAATATTCCTGGAGGGTTATTCCTGTTATGTCAGTAAGTATTGATTGATGGATTGATAGGCACAGATGTGAGACTTTCTACCCATCTCTGCAGTATCTGGTGCTTAAGAAAATCTGTCAAATATATTAAACTGAACTGAGTAGTGGGGATCAGCTCTGAATCTACTATTTAGTTGGGCAAATCACACCATCTCTGCATCCATTTTCTCATCTGCAACATTGAGATAAAAATGTTTCTGTGAGGCCCAAAGGAGGTAATGTAGCTTTGGACTACCAAATGTTAGGGGTCACCGTACCTCACATTTCTTTTCTCAGGAGTTGCAGGAGAAAGTAGGGTTTGGCATTTATTCCAAGGAGTGGGTCCCCTTTTTAACCTCTGTTAGAATGGTGGGCCATTCTTAGGAAAGCCTGAGTATAATTGGGAAGGTAGGAAGAGAATAAACATGATTTCTTGGCTTCCAGTTTTCCTGAGAAGGTATTACAGTTGTGAAAAATACAATAGTGGTAAGATCTTGAAATGGAAATTCCCCAGCTAAGTCTTTGTCTCTCTTAACTTACCGATTCTTCCTGTACACTTGGCCCAAGCCTACCGCTGTCTTAATTCTCTCCTGGTATGTCTGAAGCAAAATGTCATGTAAGGAAAACTTAGTGAAGAGATTAAAAATGACTGCTTTTGGAGTGGATTCTGTCCTCTATTTTATTTCTTTAGATCCCAAAAGGGAAATATTACTTTGGCTATCATTTATAAATTTACATAATTTTCTTTCTCTTCTTATGGTATCTTCTCTTTCAACCATCTGCTGATGTTTTTTTTTTCTTTTCCTGTCCTTGGTCCTTATTTTAGTTGACCAAAATACCAAAGTATATATCATGGATGCTATTTTTTTGAGATGTTGTTTGTTTTCTGGTTTTAATTAAAGCAAAACTATTTTGGATGAAAGTTTTATATATCCTTTAAATCAAATTCTGAAACATGTTTTTTATTAGTGCATAACCCTGGACTGATTTTTTTCTTTGGATTAGTGTTTCCCAGTGAAGCTTCATGCATATACACGTGCAGTTCTTCCCAGGGCCTTTTACACTCCTATTACTCTAGTATTTAACGAATGTCGTTCTTTTTCAAGGCTCAACTCCAGGTTTGAGCCATCGCTCAGGAAGTGGCCTAACCCTGTTGCCATCCTGCGCACTATTGGGAGTCACTGGGGCTCCATTCGTATGGACATCTAGATCTTCCAGCTTTCCAGGAGTTAAACAATACTGTGGTGGAAAAAGGGAAACCTAATTTCCCATGCGTCGTTTCTTTTCTGTGAAGGGAAGGGCGTGCGTTTGGCAGGACACCTGCTCCAGCATCCTAGGGAGAAAACACCATGGCCTTCCCTGCCTCCTGAAAAGCGCCATTCACCATGTGGGTCCCCTTCCAAGCACCAGGGCAGGCAGCCAAGGATGTCCCTCCTGTGCCGGGTGGAGACTGAACGTTAGGGTCCCTGCCCACTTCGGCCAGGCTGTGGGGCGGTGCAGGTGACCCTGGGCGGGGCTGGAGGAGCGCCTGAGACGCGCTGGAGGCGTGCTGGAGTTAGTTACCAGGTGAGGCGCGGGCGGGGCAGCGGGGCGGGGCTGGGGTGCGATCCCAGGCTTCGATTGGTTCCTGCCGCGCCTGTCTCCATGTGCCTCGCCGCTGAGGCACAACATTCAAGTCCGGGGGCGGGGCCGGCGGGCTCCTGGAGGAAGCGCCCCGCAGCTGCGGGGCGTGGGGGCGGTGGCGGCATCAGCCAAGGCCGATTCTCAGGCGGGGAAGGCTGTGGTGAAGGCTGCCGACTCCCCAACCTGGGACGGTGCTCCGCTGGGCCTCTTTCCAGGCCCCATGGAGGCAGCGGTGGGCGCGGGCTGCGGCCCGGGGTCGCCACTAGTGCTGAGCGACGGTGAGCAGCAGTGCTACTCCGAGCTCTTCGCGCGCTGCGCTGGCACTGCCAGCGGGGGCCCCGGGTCTGGGCCCCCTGAGGCTGCCAGGGCCGCCGTGGTTGCAGCCACCGCAGCCACGGGCCCGGTGGCTGACCTGTTTCGGGCGTCGCAGCTGCCCGCCGAGACGCTGCACCAGGTAGGTCTTCGTGCCCCTGCGGGTCTGTGGGGATCATCTCTGTGGGGACAAGGGGCGAGATGGGATGACAAGGCTACCCACAGGGACCTGGAGGCCTCTGTCAAGTCGCAGAGAAGGGGCTTCGTAGCCGGGAATGGCGGCGACGCCCTTGTCCCCCGGGGGACACCAGCCTCTTCTGCAGCTCAGCAGTGCTGGGTGCGCTTCCCGTCTTCCTCCCCTGTGACGGACTGGTACTCGCTTCCCTGCTCCGGCCATTTCTGGGGCTCCGCAGCCGCTCAGACCCAAAGTTTGCCTTGTTCTGGAAGTGGTGTTTGTTTTGGCCGGTGTCTGGTTTAACCTCTGTTCGCTGCTCTTGCCCTTCCCTCTCCTTAGTGGGTGGGAAGAAGTGGGCGCTGGGGTGCCTTGCTGGGATTTGAACTTGAAGAATGTGTGTTGTATGTGTCTGTATGGACGGGATCCCAGGACTAAATGTTGTCCGCTCTGTATACATATCTACTATATATATATATATTGCCCACTAACATATTTCTGAATGTTAGTATTAAACTGGAAAGCTGGATTGACAAGTTGCAGAGTGGGGACACACGGCTGCAAGAGGATGTCTGGCAGGGCAGAGCCAAGTCTCCTATTTAGGGCTAAAGGTGGAACCCGGAGGTCCTCTGTCGGAGACAGCTGTGTTGCCCATATTATCATTGCTTGGACTCGAAAATAGTGTTGGAAAGTAACGCGTGTCATAGCTACCTATCTCCTTTTGGCTGCTCCAAACCTGGAACAGGAGGAGGGATTGATCCACAGCAGATACTGTTTTTCTCTTGTGCTTTCCTTGGTGCTTGGAGAAAGACTACTTGATAAGCACTTTGTCTTTTGCTGTTACCAGCACTAAATGGTGATGAGATTCTTAATATCAGGCCCAAAATGTGAAATGAAGCTTATTCTTAAAAGCAATAGCCAGTATGAAATTTAACATCAGTTGAATATTTAGAGTGGGGAGTGGTACTTTAAAATCTACTTCCAAAGGTGCACAGAGTGTTTTATGGTTCACTTGCAATATCATTGCTTGTAGATATATTTTAAAATGTTGCTGGAGCATGCATACACCTGCTTGTGAGCATAACTTCAGCCACTCTGTAATCTTTCACCTTTTAGAATTCAGGATTTCTGAAAATATAATTAGTATTCACGGAATTTAGCATGGCTGATTGCCCTTTAAGAAGTCCTTGATATGTAGGCAGTTCTGCTACTGCTGCTAAGCAGTTGAGCTGGACCGAGTAGAGAAAAATTGGTGCACTAAAACACAACCATGGTTACTGCATCAGGCCCTCAGAAAATACCCTAGCATATTCAATTTATTAAATGCTGTCACCGTTTCTCAAATGAAAAGGAATAAATGACTGAGGCCACACAGCAAGTAACAGCTGGGAACCTATTAAGGCTTATTTTGTTGTTGATAATACATGGACTGTGATAAGAGGGGTGTATATTAAGTCTGAGTATATTGGGTAACGACTCCTTAGGAGTTGGGGGGGGCGGCTTTCCTGGTGTCAGAACCCATGCTTCCTGGAGGTATAGATAATTTAAAAAGAAACCAAGGCACAGTGCCTTTCAATGTTCTATTCTTCATGTTCCATGGAAACCTGCTTGCAAGAAGACTGGCAAAAGGGGACGTCCCTAGAAGATAGCTTGTAGTAAATGTCAGAGCTTTAAGCTCCCCCTTTCAGCCCAGCAAAACAAAACACACCCTTCCCCATTAACTTAACACAGTTGCAGTAATCCAACATTCTTCTTACAGGTAAAAATTAATAGGAAAGGCATTCTGGACAGGGAAATGTAATCAGAAGAGATTCAAATAAAGCCAGCAGCTGGCAGCCACTTAATTTTTACCAACCTCTTTGGTGGTGTGTGGCATGTCTGAGTGTGTGTGTGTGCACACACATTTCATTCACCTTGATTTGCACTCTCTTTATGGGTATATTAACCATTCTTTAAAACAAATACAGACGTTTTTAGCCTTTCCCTGTTAAGCAGGAACCTATAAGTTCAGAATTAAATGGCCCAACAGGTATAACTGCTCAAATCGTGGAGGCACTAACCAGCTCTGGTAGTTTCTATGGTAACAGCCAGCATACAATTAAGATTACCATAATGTTGTAGGATGGGTGAAAATCTTATCTGGATTAAAAATTCTATAAAAATACTTAATGTTATCACCTCCTTGGAATAAAAATACACCACTACCCCTGTTACTTTGTTACGGGAGTAAATTATCATATGGATTTTTTCAGTTGAATATAAAAAATGTATTTATTAAATATATACAAGTATTTTAGCCCTGGCTGGTGTGGCTCAGTGGATTAAGCGCCAGCCTGGGAACCAAAGGGTGGCCAGTTAGATTCCCAGTCAGGGCACATACCTGAGTTGCGGGCCAGGTCCACAGTAGGGGGCACATGAGAGGCAACCACACATTAATATTTCTTTCCCTCTCCTTCTCCCTCTCTTCCCCTCTCTAATAATAAGTAAATAAAACCTTAAAAATATATAGATATATGTATTTTCATATACTTTTTCAGAGTGTTTGGGGTTCACAGCAAAATTGAGTACAGAGTTCCCATGTACCCCCTGCCTCTACATCTACACAGCCGTCCCCATGATCAACGTCCCCCACCAGGGTGATAGCATTTGTTACAATTAATGAACCTACATTGGCACATCATAATCACCCAGAGTTCATAGTTTACCAGTATGGTTCACTCTCGGTGATGTACTTCACTCTTGGCGATGTACAGTCAATGAATTTGGATGAACGTATAATGACATGTATCCATCATTATAATGTGCTGCACTTCTGTGCTTCATCCCTTTCTCTTACCCACAAACCTTGGCAGGCAGCTGATGTTTTTACTTTCTCCACAAGTTTGCCTGTTTCAGATTCTCATAGAGTTGGAATCACACAGTATATAATCTTTTCAGATTGGCTTCTTTCATTTAGTCATATGCATTTAAGATTCTTCCATATCCATTCATCTCTTAATGGCTCATTTCTTTTTAGTGCAGAATAATATTCTATTGTCTGGATGGACCACAGTTTATTCATTCACCAACTGGAGGACATCTTGGTTGCTTTTTACTTTTGGCAATTATGGGTAAAATTATTCTAAACATCTGTGTGCACTTCGGTTTTCAACTCCTTTGGGTAAATACCAAGGGTCAGGATTGCTAAATCATATAATAAAATTATGTTTAGTTTTGTAAGAAACTGCCAAACTGTCTCCCAAAGTGGATGTGCCATTTTGCAATACCCCCAGCAGTGAATGAGAGTTCCTGCTGTTCCACGTCCTTGTCAGCATTTGGTGTTGTAAGTGTTCCAGATTTTGGCTATTTTAATAGGTATGTAGTCAGTGGCATCTCTATGTTCTTTTAATTTGCAATTCCCTGATGACATATGATTTTGAGCATCTTTTCATGTGCTTTTATGCCATCATGAATAATTTTAAAGCATCATAATAGCCTATTTTAAAAGGCCTTTTAGACTGTATAAGAGTATTTATCTTCATGTGCTTATTTATTTTAAAAGCAGGATTTTAGTACTAGCTAGAAAAATAGTAGAATGAAACACTTACATTAGAAAAGGGAAATAATCAATGTCTGAGAAACAGATAAATAAGTTTTGTTTAATACTTCAAGGTAAAGAGCTAGAAATGTTAGAGTAATGGGTTTCCCACTTTGTGAAGTATCTTATTGGTATTCAAAGGCTAGCATTTTACTAGAAGACATAGGGTACTATGGGAATCAGGTTTGGGTTTGAAGGGTATTTAAAGCATTTCAATTTCTATTGTGTATCAGACAGACACTATTCTAACTGCTAAGTTTATAGCAGTGAATCAAACACAAATCCCTGTCCTCATGGAGAGTACATTCCAGTGTCAATGTTTTTATTCTTCAGAGTTTGAGTAAGAGAAGATTTGAAATATAACAGCTAGAAATAAAATGTCTACCTTAAACTGGCAAGTTTTCTGTTTGACATAATGAATTAGCAAACTGTATAGACTCCTTTATAATATCCGTCTTTTCGGACAGTATCTTAGTCTCTGGGAATGCTGTGCATATTTCAAGTGGTTATTATAATGTTATTTTTATTGATAGGTAACTCTTTTGTTTTGAAATAGTGTATTTTTCATTGATAAAATTGACCCAAGCATTATATTAGTTTCAGGTGTGCAGCATAATGATTTGATATTTATATATGTTTGTGAAATGATTACCATAATAAGTCTAGTTAACATCCATCACCACACAGTCACAATTTTTTTTCTTGTGATGAGATTATTATGATATACTCTCCTAGCAACTTTCAGGCACACAATACAGTATTATTAACTATAGTCACCGTGCTTTATATTACATCCCCATAACTTATTTATTTTATAACTGGCAGTTGGTACCTTTTGACCCCCTTTATCCATTCACCCCCCTCCAGCAGCCACCAATTTGTTCTCTTTATGAGTTGGGGATGGTTGGTCAGCTGGTCTTTAGACTCCACATATAAATGAGATTATATGGTTTTTGTCTTTCTGTGTCTGACTTGATGGTTAACTCTTAGACATTAAGGGGAATAGTTATAAAACTCTGTTGATTTTGTATTATCAGGGGAAATCACTGAATGGGAGAAAAGCCAGTAAGTAATGTCTGATTGTTTAAGCAGCTTTGATTGAGATGAAGTAAAACAAAGCTGTGAAAAGTATGGGATATTCTAAAAACTCTTGCACATGAGGCCTCTCCTTTGGGAAGAAGTCATATTGAAAGGGTTTCTTGCAGTTCTTTGAAGCAACCAACTGTTTAGTCATTAAAGAAAACTATAGGCAAAAGACAAAATTCTTGTGAACTTTTTCCTGTTGTAGATTATTAGCCAGAACTATTTTTTAAAAATGCAAATGCAACAATTTAAAAAAATTTTTGCATCTTTATATTATATCACTTTGTGGTATATACTTTAGGGAGTTAGA